GTATTGGACCGTGAGATGTGGTATATTTGGAAATCATGAATTCTGTCTTCATTGTGTGAAGTTTGAGAGATCAAATAGATCTGAGAAGTGGGCAGTTTCTGCCTATATTCTATCTAGATAGAACAATCTAGAAGTTTATAAAAGGCAAGGCTGGTTAGTAGTAGTTAGGCCATAAGCAAGAATGGGATCACCTACCAAGTGAGAGCATCTGGAGGCATGGACAGAGAACTGAGGCTGGTGACCTCTGCACCTGGCAACTAGAATATGACAGAAGGTCAGGAAAGGCTGAAATGTCCAGGAAAGTATGAGGAAAACCTGAAAAGTATGATTTCCTGAAAGGCAATCTAAGAAAAGGTAGAAGGAAGAACTTGGCCAAAGATACCAAGTACTGCTGGAAATCAGGCAGTGTGAGGTCCACTGGAGAAAGCTCTGGGATCCAGACAGGATTATCTTCTCTCCTAATTGAATCTTTTAAATTAGCAGATGGTAAAATTTTCTTTTTTATTATATAGTTCTATCCATTTTACCACAGGAATAGATTTACTTAACTACTATTTGCAATCAGAATTAAGTACATTTTCATCAATCCCAGAAAACTCCCTGAGCTATTTGTGGCTTGCTCTCTGTTCCCTACCCCTAACGTTTGGCAACCACGGATCTGTTCTCCATCACTGGCTTTTTGTTTTTTCAGTAATGTCAGATAAATGGAGTCACAAGGTATAGAACCTCTCATCCAGCATAAGGCCTTTGATTGTCAGCTAAGTTGCTGCTCACCAAAGAGTTCTATTTGGGGGTGCGTAGTAGGCTATTATATGGATATACCATAGCTAGGTTATCATGCACCCCTTCAAGGACATTGAAGTTTTTTTTTTTCAGTTTTTTTGGTAATTTATGAAGAAAACTGCTGTAAGTATTTTTATATGGTTTCTTGCATAAACATACCCCAGGACTAGAATTGCAAAGTAATAAGATAAGAGTGTATTTAGATTTATATGAAAGTGCAAAATTATTTTTTGGAATAACTGTAATATAGGTTATTAGCTTTTTAATTTATTTTTTAAAATAGAAGACTTTTCATTTTTTATGAAAAGGTAAACCAGGCTCTGTAGGGTTTACCTGTAAACCCAGCATCACAGGAAGCTAAGGAAGAGGATCCCAAGTTCAAATCTCACCTCTGCAACTTAGTGAAACTGAAAATATAAAAGGCTGGCAATATGGCTAAGTAGTTAAGTGCCCTGGATTCAATTTCTAGTTTAAAAAAAAAGAAAGGGAAGAAGAGAGAGAGGGAAGGAAGGAGGGAGGAAAGGTGGAAGGAAAGGAGAAAAAAAATATAAACATTCAGAATTTTATGAAAATTTTCAAAACATCTTAGGGGTCAAATTCTTTCTCTCTGCAGACCACTAGTTTTCAAACATTGACATAACCCAATCCCTATGTTAATAATTGGTAAAAGTTGAGAATGAGAGATTAAAAAAATAATTTGCTATTATTGCAGAGCCTTAAAGTACCAGGTTTTTGTTTGTTTGTTTGTTTTTTGGGTACCAGTGATTGAACTCAGAGGCACTGGGCCACTAAGCCACATCCCCAGCCCTATTTTGTATTTTATTTAGAGACAGGATCTTTCTCACTGAGTTGCTTATCATCTCACTCTTGCTGAGGCTGGCTTTGAACTTGAGATCCTCCTACCTCAGCCTCCCCGATTACTAGGATTACAGGAGTGCAAACTTCTTGTACACCCTGCAAATGCCAGGTCTTTTGACTTTAAATATTGTGTTCTTTCTACTTTCATACTACCTCCCTTAGAACTATTAATACCTTTCAGTGAAATAGGTTGCCCTGCTACTCAAATCATTTTCTGTTAACACATATTGATACCGCCCGTTACCAGTGATGAGTCCTGCTTCCCCACATGTTTAAGTCTGAACATTAGAGAAGCACGCTGAGCAAGCATATAAAGCAGGGTTTATTTTAAAAGGGGTAACAGAGGCTTCTTCCAGGAGGGAGAAGGGGGCCATAGCTGGTATCATGGTATCCCAAGAAGCTAGGTGTTCTGCCCTTTTTATATGTCCTATGCTTGCTTTGTTCTCCTGCCTCCTACTCCTTTCTCCTTCCTGTATAGGCCACTAAGCCCAGGAATGCTCTTTGGGATGGCCAAAAGGTGGGAAAGGTGGGCTGAAGAGGGAAGAGCAGGATGGAGTAGCCAAAGACACAGTAACAACCTTATAGCTCCCTGTAGGGAGGAGAAATCCTGCGACAGATTACCTTGGCAACAGTTTGGAGCAGGGGCAGGTTCTTGATAAGATCCCTCAGGGGACAGTCTTCAACTTCCCAGACTCACTCAAATTGGCCTCCTTGATCCGACCTGACTCAGTTTACCTATCTACACTGACTGCCTCTCTAATTCTAGCTTCAATATGACAAAGGAAAACCCTTCTGAAATGGAAGACTCTCCTTCTTATTAACTCTGTTTTCTTAATCCTTCCTGAACCTCATATTTCTCATCTGTAAACAAAGTTTTGATGTTATTTTTAAGTCTTAATTTGCATTGTTTAACTATTCAAATAAATATAATAAATCATTTAACTTTAATAGTATAATTCAAAAAAAAAGAAATTTTAAAACGAGTATTTATCTAAACTCTAACTACATGAAAGCAATCTGGGAAAGATAACATTATATATTAGTAAAACTGTCCTGGGAGATCTAACTTCTAATACCAGCAATTCTCTAAATGTTCTTAGCAATCAACATTTCCTTTTTTTATATCAATCTTTTTATTTACATATGACAGTGGAATGCATTACAATTCATATTACACATATAGAGCACCAATTTTTCATATCTCTGGTTGTATACACAGTATGTTCCCACCAATTCGTGTCTTCATACATGTATTTGGATAATGGTGTCCATCACATTCCACCATCATTTCTGACCCCATGCCCCCTCCCTGCCCCACTCACCCCCCTGCCCTATCTAGAGTTCCTCTATTTCTCCCATGCTCCCTCTCCCTACTCCACTGTGAATCAGCCTCCTTATATCAGAGAAAACATTTGGCATTTGGGTTTTGGGGATTGGCTAACTTCACTTAGCTTTATATTCTCTAACTCCATCCACTTACCTGCAAATGCTATGATTTTATTCTCTTTTATTGCTGAGTAATATTCCATTGTGTATATATGCCACATTTTTTTATCCATTCATTTATCGACGGGCATCTAGGTTGGTTCCACAGTTTAGCTATTGTGAATTGTGCTGCTATAAACATTAATATGGCTGTGTCTCTGTAATATGCTGTTTTTAAGTTCTTTGGGTATACACCAAGGAGTGGGATAGCTGGGTGAAATGATGGTTCCATTCCCAATTTTCCAAGGAATCCCCATACTGCTTTCCATATTGTCTGCACCAATTTGCAGTCCCACCAGCAGTGTAAGAGTGTGTCTTTTCCCCCACATCCTCACCAACATTTACTGTTGTTCATATTCATAATAGCTGCCATTCTGATTGGAGTGAGACTTGATGAACTGTCAGATATCTAATATGATTTTAAATACTTTAAAATAATGTAAGAATGACAATAGAAGTCATTTGTAAAAAGGAAGAAAAAAAATCCCAATTCTGTTTCATAGAGATGTGTATACCTACCTTCACTACCAGACCCATAAGTTAAAATACAGATCCCAAATGTATATTTTAAAATATTTGAAAAAATCAGTTTCCTTTACAATTTTAATCTTTCTTTTGGCAGTCCAATTTTCTTCGGACAAAACAACTAGTTTAGTTGTTTCTAAACCCCAAAGGGTTCTTGCTTTCAACAATAATTGATTAGCATAATCCGTCTTTAGTTTATTCAATCATTCAAAACCCATTTTGAACATCTGTTATGAGCTGGGTAATGCAAGATGATGATGGCACAGTGGATTGAACACAATGACAGGGATGTGCACCGGATGCTTTGGGAGCGTGCAGGGCTACTGTCTGCCCAGAACTCGAAGCTGTGGATCAAGGATCATCAAGGTTGATCTCTGAAATTCTAGCCAATATCTAGGCAGTTGATGATTTGTGCTTTCGAGAAGTATCACAATCCTATACTCTTATCCTGTTCTTTTCCCCCTATCTTCTTCCAAAGGATTCATCAGTTAAGATGGGAAGGGAATGAATCAGTATAGACACTCAGTAGAAAAGCTGTGTCCACACAACACAGATGAAGGAACATGGACTCTAATAGTTAAAAACAGCAGTCAGACTATCTAAACTCCATATTGGTAACATGGTAAATCTTTTCTTATTTCTCATCTCCTCACTTAGAAATTCAGGCTGTAATACCTGCATGCTCAGGACAGTTGACATCCATATGCTGAAGCCAGTGCTCACTAGTATGTCCCCAATTAGTAGCCTCTTCCAGGATTGGCAAATTGGTTTTCAAAGTAATAGTATGTTAACATTACAAATGAGTCATATACATCAAAGCTGACTAATATACCCACTTGACACTACTTACATGTGATCAGCTAATTCACTGGTGTTACTTACATACTTTTGTCCCAAGGCTATTTTTAACAGCAGTTTCATGTACTTGTAGACCCTAAAAAAGGACAGATAATAACATACAATTAGCTGAGAAAGAAATGTCAGCTGGAAAACAACTTATTTGCTTTCTGGTTGTTGATTCAATACGTGTACTTTTGTATCTTGAAGATACTGAGAATTCCCTAAGTTACCTTACTTATGTGTTTAATAATCACTGATGGGCTTATCTTCATCTTTCTGCATCATCTGGTCAACTTAACATTATTTATAGATTTATTAGTATTTCAATATGGTATAGATATTTACAATGCTAAATAGCTCTCAGACATTTACTTTTAAATGTACAGAGTGTTGATAAATTTCCAATAAAGTTTGTCATCCTCTCAACAGAGAAAGTGTGCTCATTGTTGACATATATTCAGGTTTCTCTTTTGTTATGTTAATGATCATCTTTTGCTTGTTTTGGAAAGGAATTGAATTGGAAATTGTCAATAGCTGTGAAAAGAACAATGGTGGCTGTTCCCATCACTGTGAACATGCAATTGGTGGGCCCCTTTGTTCCTGTAACCATGGACACCAGCTTGATTCGGATGAGAAAACGTGCATAGGTAATGTTTGGTCAATGCCATCTTCATTCAAAAGTTGCCCTGGATTCATTTAATTCTTTCATCTTGATGCTCATTGCTGTAAAGTGAGACACATCTCTCAAACTTCAAGGAGAACTAGATTGGATAGTGTCTCTGGCTACAAAATAAATGTGAAGGAAACATCTCTTGGCAGAAGATATCATTACAATTAGATATTGCCTTGAAATTAAGGAGATTAAAAGCATTTTAACAATATATATGGGCTTAATAATTTAATTCAGGAAAATATCCCAAGGTCTACCTAACCATTTCATGTGATTCATATTCCAACAACAGATGCTATCATGTGCCCCATGCCTCAAACAGAAACTAAATCAAATGTACTGGTTTTCAAGTTAGTAAAGATTTAGATGAATATTCAACTTTAAAACAGCAGGTTACTATGTTACAAAAGAAAACTTTGGAAGATAATCATTTTAAACATCCCAATCCAAACCTATTCTTAATGGCTAAGCTCTCCTGACATATTATTAGAATTTATATCATTTGAGACAATGATAAGAATATATTCCACCCTGTCCTTCCATCATAATGAAATATTTAATCAAGACCTTTATTTTGGAGGGGAGGGCAGGGGGGGAGAAGGAATATCTTTTGTAAAGACAGAGCATCAAATCACATTAGTATGGGCTTTGGTTCTGAGGACACTTTCAAGCCCCTAAACAGTGATTTGCCATCACTTGTCAAGATACTGTATCTGTTTCTCTTCTTTTTTGATGCTCTTTTTAAAATTATAATGTAAATGATAAAAAAAAATCTTTGGTCCACTTCATGCTATTCACTAGGGTGAGAGACAATCTGAAGTATAAATAAACAAGTAAAATTCTATGATTTAAGAACTGCAGGTTTTATTTTATTTTTTTTAAATCTTGGTTGATTGATGGGAGAGGATGAATCTCAAGATATTTTGCAGTAATCTGGTTTCATAAATTATTTAAGAAAAACACTGACATTACTTATATTTCTTGATCCAACCTTGCCTTTTACATTGCTGTCTGAGTCGATAGTGGTTACCTTATGGAAATCAACTGTTTTCCTTGTCTCTTTTTGTATAATGAAAAAAAAATCTTGTTTTTTTTTCCTACCATGCAATGTTCATATTTATGGAAAATTAATGACTATCTGACTTCCTTCCTTCCCTCCTTCCTTCCTTACTTCCTTCTTTCCTCCATTCTTCCTTTCTTCCTCCCTTCCTTCTTTCCATCTGTATTCCTTATTTGAGTACTAGATAAGGGAAACTGAAATTTTACTAAATCTTGTCTTTGCAAATTATAATTGATGTCTTTCTTTATTCTTTGAAAAGTACAATTCAGTAAAGTTCTTATTTACAGTTAGAAAAAAACAGCATCTGCCAGGGTCAAAATGCAGAAAATTGCATATTTATGAGATTTCAGCAGTCAACATGATAGTGTTACATTCTTTATGGTATTTCAAATTTATTTCATTTTCCAATGATAAAAAATACTTATTTATAAAGACAAATATTCACTTAGTGTAAAAGGCAGTGATTCATTTGGAGTGCATATATACATACTTTGCTTATTTGCCTGGGAACAGATTAAAGTCATGGATGCTTTGTAAAAACATTTATGCATGAAGGAAATGAAAGAATTTTTAGCTTATTTTAGTATCAAGTATTTTTTTTTAAATTGTGAATGTACAAAGAAATGTGAAAATAATTCAGCCAATATGCAAATGGTCAACCAGTCTTGCCAGAATAGGAAAACTTATCAGTGCTACAACCTAGATAGAGTTGTAACACAATTTGAAAGACTACTATTTATAACATGCAAGCATCCAACCAGCAACAAACTTAATAAATTTAACAATTATCCAGTTATTAGAAAATATGTTTTTAATTCTAACTTACTGAGCTTTAACAAGTAACTGTAAATTAGATAAAGAAGATGATGCTTTTCAGAAGTCAGACCTGAAATGTTTAATTATTTTGCCTGGCTACAATTGGTGCTGTACTTTTAATTAGGGCTAAATTTTTCTGTACGGGTAACTGGTGCAGTATGTGTCCATAGTGAGACAATATCTGATAACATTGTCCAATTTAGATAAAATATGATCATCATAAGGGAGGAAAATTAAAAGGAAAAATGAGTCAGTGAAGATATCAGCAAATGTAATCTGAAAAGAAATCAAGAAATTTAGAAAACCAGGGATGTAAAGCTGAAGTACCAGGGCAGTCTAAGAAAGGTTTGTGGTAGAGGAAGAATGGGGCTACAGATGAATTTAGAATTGAAAAATGGTATATATGAAAGAATCTAGAAATAGCTCCTGAGGAATGATAATGGAATAAGAATCCAAAATGAATCATAAAATAACAGTCAGAACAAGGGGATTATTTTCCAATTATAAGAGGCAATTAAGCATCTTGCTATTTGAGACCTGTATGTTTGGAGGCTCTGGTGGTAGCTAAGAAGTCTTCTTTAAAAATCTGGAAATTAAAAAATAAATAAATAAAATAAAATAAAGGGTAATATTTTAGATGAAATAAAACAATTATATTTTTGAACTTTTTTTAATCCTCCAAGTTCATACTATTTTGTCTAAAAGGCAGAAGTTTTAATAAATGAAATTGAGTAAATTATACTGTTCTGTTGTGTGCACATACAAATATGTAACAATGAATCCCACTGTTATGTACAATTACAATGCACCAATAAAAACTCATCTAAAGTGAAAGTGCTTATCATATTTTACAGGAGAAAGCATGTTTTGTCTCCAAATGACCTTCATTTAGATATTTTATGTTGACCCCTCACCTTGATTGACTGATTGCATTTTCTTTCCTTTCTGTCTCTTGTCTTCATTTCCTTGCGTTGTTCAGTACCTTTTCCCAGGTTAATTGAGACACTGACCCTTTTTTATCTGTGGCTGCTCATGTAGTTATGGAGCAATGGGATTTTGTAAACTCAGCAGTGACAGACCACCCAACTTAACAGAGAGAGCTGAATTGAACCAAGGGCTTAAAGCCAAACACCTTGACCACACAATTCCCAGGAGCCCAGCTTAAGGAAAGCAGAAGCAGGTGTTTGTTGCTCCTCTTTGGTCATTATATTAAAAAGGAGCACTTCAAAGGCAAAAGAGATTACTCTTTGGCTGAGGGGTTCAGTTTGACATCTTCTGGTATGTTTCTATTTTCCCCAGGGCAATTGTGTTTTAGGAAGAAACATTCAGGCTTCTGGAATTCTAGAATAATTTTACTGCAGGAGATTTAAAGATCATCATTTAGAAAATTGCTCATTGGGCTGGGCATGACAAGGCAACAATGTCATAGTTGTAACAAAAAAAACCCAGACTTCACTCATCCTAGTCAAGCATCACCTAAATGTTCAAACAAATGTTCTGAACTATTCTATGTGTTAAAACACAATATGTTAAATAAACATTCTGTCCTCTCTCAGGAGTATATTACCACTTCTCTTCCCAGTTGTGTGAGAAAGGAACTTTTGCTGGAGAGCACTTTGAGATCTGAAGTTCTAGAAGAACAAGCACATTGTGGAGTTTAAGATAGTCTCCTTTCTGTAGCTGTCAAATGCTACTAAATGGAATTCTTTGTCTCATCTTTTTCAAGCTGTTTTTTGATTCTTCAGGTTTATTCATTCGAATTGCTGTTTGAATTAGAAAAAAATAGCAGAGATTTCTTCTCTTGTTCTTATAAATGCATTTCAAGATTATTTACATTGTTCTAAAATAAATAACAGGCATAGAAGAAACATGCTAGAAACCTAAGCCAGAAGTAGGTCTTATTATCTTTGTGTTACAGTTTCTTCGGTGTTTGTACTATATGACCTGAGAAAGAGAAAACAGTAGCAACACTGTTTTAATTTGGAAACGAGGCTTCTCAGAGCTTCCTTAGGTTTGCTAAACTCCTATCTCTGCAATAACAGGAGTGTCCTTTTCCCTGCAGATCTCGATGAGTGTGAGAACGGAGAGGCCTGCTGTGCCCAGCTCTGCACCAACTATTTAGGAGGCTACGAATGCCATTGTCAGGAAGGCTTTCAGATCAGTCTGGACGGTTGTGGATGTGATGGTAAATTTCTGAGATCTAACATGCAATAATGGATGTGATGGGGCCATCAGTGAAGGACGACTCTACCTCTACTCTAAGGTAGAGCGCTGAGACACTAAAAAGAGATTGGATTTCTATGTGGTTCTACCACTATGGTGTTGGCTTAGGCAGCTCCAACTTCTGTGAACCTCAGATTCTCATCTTTAAAATGAAGGCAGTATTAGGATTACTGAAGTAAATTTTTAAAAGTAATAAATGAAAGTACAATGGTTGGCATACAGAAATCACTCAGCTAAAAGTAGCTATTGTTATCATCATATTCATTAGTGCATGATACCCTTCACTCCATCTCACACACATACACATATACATGCATATACACACATAAGCAATTAAGAGATTCTGGAAGGTTACAGCCCAGTGCCATAGGAATCATCCACAGCAAACTTGACTGAAAGTCATTTTAACCAATGACAAGAGTATCAATAGAAAAGCAATTATCAGTTCATGATAATTCTGTACCAGAATCCCTTGTATATATCTGATATTAATGTATAGCTGATGTATGTTTTAAGATAAATCATCTTACAATTTTCTAACTTAATTTCCAGGTGATTTCTAGCTTATGTTTTCTTGTCTGTTTTTTGATATAGGAGCATTTGACTATAGTGAGTAGAATCAGTTAACTTTATTCAATTAAAATTAGGTCACATAAGTCATTGCTTGATTTTCTTTAAAAAGTTACCTTTAATGTATAATCTTTAAGTTTTCATTTTTAATCACTATTACTCCAAACTATATTTTTCTTGAAACCAAAGCAAAGATCAGAATGTTGATCTTTACGCAAATAACTGGTCAAATACATGGCTTCGATGTCTCAGAGAAAATAATGTTTCTTTTCTTAAAGAAACAATTACCTGAATTCTGTTGAGATCTTTTTTTTCCATATAGATAGCAAGCCCCCCCACCCCCGCAGCCTTGCAGTATAGATAACAGCAAAACCCACACAACTCTGAAGTCTATATATACTACACATACTAGAGTATATTACCATTTACCACACTGTAGCCAATTAACAGAGCCAACAAAAAATTTTGAATTTTATGTACCATCTGCTCTTCAGCAGAGTGAGCCAAGAAATGATTGTATGGCATGAATGTACATACTTGCATACACGTATCCAAATGGAAAATCTATCTGTAATCTCAGGCAAAGCCTAGAAATACAGCTTCATTGGTGAATTTTTAGTATCTTGTACACATTGACCAAAGTCTGGACTCAGATTGGTCATAAACCACTAAGTCATATGAGGTCAGAGACTAGAGTTCTTTAATCTCTAAAATTCTCTACAATCCTTGTGCACATATATGCACAGAGTTAAGTGTTCTATCCGATATTTGAATTCAAGAGTGAATGAACATCCTCCAAAATGGTGCAGAGCCTAAAATCATGGAATTTAAGTTTTATGTTCTTTATCTAACTCTCATAATCAAGGTCTCAGAAAGACCTTACTTATATAGATAAGCTATGGTAAGCTTGGAAATAAGCAAAGAAAAAAAGAATTGGCGGGGTACAGTGGAGAAAGAATTGGGGGGCTATGCCTGCTTTCTAGATGGCAGTGTGCTGTTATTGGCTAATGAAGGCCACAAAAACAACACAAAAAGCAGATGTTGTTTACATCCTCCTAGATGTGGATGAGTGTCTGGATGTCAGCATAGTCTGTGACCAACTATGTATCAATTCTGTGGGAACCTACGACTGCACCTGTGCTGAAGGCTATAGAATTGGAAGTGACAGGAAAACTTGCATCTGTGAGTCACTAAAGAATTTTCTTTTGTCTTTTCTAAACTGCCTCTACCCTCACCTTGCTTTCAAGAGCAACAAAAACCACACATTCCTCAACTCAGTGTCTTCCCCTTTCTATCTTCATAATCTGAGATCTCCCTCCCTCCCTCCTTCTTCCCTACCCCTTCTTTCCTTCCTGCTTCCTGTTTGTGTTTCTTTCCCCCTTCCTTCCTTCCTTCCTCCCTCCCTCCTTTCCTTCCTTCCTTCCTTCCTTCCTTCCTTCCTTCCTTCCTTCCTCCCTTCCTTCCTCCCTCCCTTCATCTCTCCCTCCCTCCCTTCCTTCTCTACCTCCTTTTTCCTCTCTACCTCTCCCTCTTGCTCTCTTCCTCTCCCTGTCCCTCTCTCTCTCTCTTCCCCTTTTGTTCTCTCTCCCTCACTTTCAACTCCCAGTAGCTTCCCCTTCCTTTACAATAGACATTTGAACTAGCAATCTCAAAGTGCTTTGCCTGTTGGTGACCTCCCCTGGGCTGCTTGGTTCAAATCCTCACTGCTCTGTCCACACTTGATCAGTGTTTCCCTTTCCAATCCACATGTGAAACCCAGCATTTCCTCTATGGTCTTAGCTTTAGATGATGACGAGCTGGAGGGTGAAGAAGAGGAATTAGAAATTGTGAGGTTTCCAGGACTTCAACTCCAGAGCCCACCTCAGCTGGGTCATTATGTTGCTACGGCCCTGGTTGCCTCTAATGAAGATGAGGAAGATGAGGGAGAAGAGGAAGAGGATTTCCAGGAATTAACTGCTTTGCACAAAGTTGGTGAGTAAAATAATTGACCTCAATAAACTGGCCTCTCCTTATTTTTAGGTAGCTCACATATATTCCGTTGAGGCAGTATCATTATCAATATTTAATGCCATCAAATGTTTTAACATGAAGGTTGCAAAAAAGGTTTGGAGCAAGATCACTTCTTTACAGCTTCTATCAAATTTACCACCTTTTGCCTTTCTTCCTCCTGCACAATAAAGGGGCACTGTATAAGTATTTGCAAAAATCAGGATGCAGGGTGAAGAGGTGCCCTTGCTATGTTATACAGAGAAAAAGAACTGGAAAAATCTTTAAATTTGCATAAAAGGGGGAAAGAACCAGGATTTTAAATTCTTATAATTATTATAAATTTTATTAGAAGTCATTTTATATAATTAAAATCTACCTTGAAGAGCCTTAAAATATAGCTGCTTTTCTAGATTTTAAAATAGAGAACCAGTTGTTTAATATGCCCAAGTAGACTAAGAAAATATCTTCAAAATGTGAGCAGTTTTTCTCCCATATCCAAGCAACAGAGCTCAAGCATTAAATCATTTCTGATCAAAATAAATTAGCACAACCTCTATCAAAACTAACTGTGCACAGCCAGTCAAAAACTGGGTTTTTTTCCCTTTCTTTGTTAAACAGAGCTACTCATTTTGCTCTACTTCTGTTTGTTGTTTTTTAACAATATAAAAGCTTGATGACTGCTATATAAGGCATTAAGTAAAAGAACAGAAATATTTTATGTTATGGAAAAATCATCATAATAATATCATTAAAGGCTTCTGCATGAAAAGAGGAATATTTTAATGTTTGTTAACGAAGCTTCTTTGGCTACTCAAATCAGAATGGAAGTAATTCAGGGCAACAGGCAGTCAGAACTTGATTAACTTGAGTAAGTTTTGTAAAGAAGGGAAACAGACACATCTCTTGCTGTGTCCCACTCCTCCATCTTTTTTCCAATATATGGACTGTGCCTGGAAATCCAAAAGACAGCTGCTAAGAGGATAAGGAGCAAGGCACAGCTCTCAGCAGTACAGTGATGATAAGGGAGAAAAAGTTGTAGCTCAGGGTCTGCCAAAGTAGAGAGGCCTTGTTGGAAATGGCAACTTTTTGAATCATTTTATCTGAAAGACCTCACCCTTAAAAAAAATTTAAAAAAAAAAACTTAAAAGGAATGGACCTTAAAGGAATGAAAGTCTATCCATACTTATTCAAATTGAAGTAATCTCCCTCAAGTACAGAATGGAGAAATAAATTCATTTGGTATATTTTTGGAATGGAATATACACATAATGTAAATGAATCTTACGAACATTATATTAATGAAAGAAGCTTCATACCAAAGAGCACATACTGCATAATCCCATTATATAACCTTCAGAAATAAGAGAAGATAATCTCTGGTGTTAGAAATCAGGATTGTGCTTAATTTGTGAGGTTAATGACACACTCATCAAGTCACCTTTGAGATTTTAGGTAGCTGGTAATATCCATTATCTTGACCTGAGTGACATGCATATAAGTTGTTTACATTATTAAAAAAATTTCTTGAAGTATACACTTGGGATCTGTCTACTTTTTGCATATGTACTAATTTTTGATAAAAAATTATTTCTAAAAATTCCATGCACATAAAACCTGGAAAGAAAACTACTAAACTACCTAGGATATTTGTTATTATTGTATTCTGGAATTAAGAGTGATTTCTTTTTTTATTTTTTCTAAAGACTCTAGACATTCTCTAGGGAACGTATTCTAATATAATTGTGGGAAAAAAATAAAATGAGTTCTATTTTAAAGCTATCTCTTTGTTGTGGTCTTTTCCTGGGACTCTTTAGAATGTATGCTGTCAAGAATCCTTGGGGCTGGGGATGTGGCTCAAGCAGTAGCGTGCTCGCCTGGCATGCGTGCGGCCTGGGTTCGACCCTCAGCACCACATACAAAGATGTTGTGTCCGCCCAAAACTAAAAAAAAATAAATAAATATTAAAAATTCTCTCTCTCTCTCTCTCTAAAAAAAAGAATCCTGGTTTTCTTTCAGTAAAGAAGGATTTCCTCTCCATTTCGTATTATAGACAGGAACCAACTAAGATAGTATCAGGTTGCAGTCATTTAGGTCACACCTTGGGACAGCCTTGCATCCTGAGCCCTGAGGACTGCATGAACAGAGACATGCCTGGAGGGAAGGACCCAGGGCTCCTGCCCTTCTTTGCAATGAAATTAAGTAGTAGCCTGAAAAATGGTACAGGCCACTAGCTACTGGGGACAAGTTCTCTCTTTTTTTGGTACCACAGATTTAATCCAGGGGTGCTTAATCAGGCCTTTTATATATTTTACTTAGAGACAGAGTCTCACCGAGTTGCTCAGAGCCTCACTAAGTTGCTGGGGCTGGCTTTGAACTCTCCATCCTCCTCCCTCAGCCTCCTGAGCTGCTGGGATTACAGGCATGCACCACTGAGCCCAGCTTTTTTTATCTTTAAGTCGTGCTCCCTAAAATGTTGAAATAAAATAAAGAATTGATGTGGGTGAGAAACCAAGTCATTTGCTATGCATACAGAAGGCCTATGAATGCTGAGGGTTTAAACAGAACTTGTGAGCACAAGAGGAGATTTTGTGTTTCCTGGGAAAGCAGATGATTTGTCTCTTTTTTCTCCATAAAATGTAAAAGTTAATAAAGGATCCTAATATTTTAGACTTCTAAAATCCCTCCATTTAAATAAGTCATCAGATTGTGGCAAACTATTCCCAATGAGGGGAGGTGGGAGGAAAGGAAAGGATTTGTGGTACAAAGTGCAAACTAAATGAAATTGCTTGACTTCTTGCTGCCTGTTTTTTGTTTCTGTGTTCTTTTTTCTTTTCTTTTTCTCTATTTTTATATATGCTAACAGAGCCATTTACATTGGTTTAATTGTGTTTAACAAGTTTCTTATGAGAAAATAACAAAGATTTGGGGTTGGTATCACTGGAAAATCTTTTTCTCTTCATATTTTAAAGGAAAATATGCTTTCTGGAGTTAAAACTACCCTGTGATAAAATAAAGTATATTGACTGTCTTTGTTTTCTTTTTAAAAATCTAGCATACACATCATTTCCTGGAAGGGTTTGTCTTAATCTTTGTGATTGGCATGGAAGATGGTATAAGCAGATTTTCTTCTGAACCTCCTGCACACACACACAAAAAAGAGCACAAATATTTTTTTTCTATTACCTGATATAGATGCAAAACATGAGCCATGGCACAGTGAAGTGGTGTAGCCAAGATTACTCGTTAGGATTTTGGGCATCTTTCTCAGGCAGCCTCTGATCATGTTTCTCTGCTGCTCTGAAGCTTTAATTAAGAGGGCCCTGTTGACTGTAGAAAGGTGTGCAGTGCTTCTTGTTCAGACACTGGTAACCATCTAAAATCAGGCTCCCATAAATCCCTTTTGTTTTTACCCTAGGCACGACTCTTTGCCCAGCCTATTATTTCCAGCAAACTAAAACACCTGCTACTTGCTTCCCTGGACTTTGCAGCTTTGTGCCTTTTGTCAAACGGCCTTCTTTGATGGTCCATGCTGCCTATGGCATGAAGTCCTAGATGGTGGCCCCAGTCTTAACACAACTATTTATCTTTCCAGTGGATTAAACTCACTGTCTACATTGGTTTAAACTCACTTACTAGGCTGTGGACTCGTTGTCCAGGTCCTATTCCTGTAAATTTGTTGTGAGTTGCTCCATATCGTGAGCGCCCACTACTTCAGTGAACAAATGACAAAAACAAATTTTTAAAAAATTGATATTGGGACACCCAGCTATACAGCTATGTTGAACTGTAATTGGACATGCTCAATTATATAAAATTGGAATTAAGAAAATGTTTTTTGCATGATTTTTAAGAAGTGAGCACTTACCTTATATCGTAAGCTGTGTTAATAAATATGCATCTTCGGAACACTTGATCCCTAACATGGTAGCATGATAAATAAAACAGAATTTCCGTGCCAAATACATCAAAATAAAACATTTCCAAAATAAATTGAATATAGAAATATTACAATTAAGCTGGCTGATTAAAATAAAGATAGGATGGCCCCTTTGGCTTTGGAAACCTTGAGCATCTTCTGTATACTCATGAGGTCCTAAAAAGGGGAGTCTACTTATGAAAGAAACCTATGACTTATTAGCATTTTATCTTCATCCTCTTTCATCATTCTTGAAAAAATGAAAACAAAACCATCCAAATCCATCTATCAGTAATGAAAAAAAAAAAAGATTCACTAATTCATTAATAATAAGAGGGTTTGGGGATATTAAAAATTCCTATAAATTATAATAAATAGAGTTGATCAATCAATCATTACCCATATTTTTTTAAGATTATCAGCTTTGAAAACACAGCAAGGGAAACAAAAAAAAAAAGCATTCATCAGGGATCTAGAAAGTAGGCTTTCCCATAGATTAGATCTTCTGACCCAATATCTTTATTGTTCTATTATGAAAATATCTATTTTGGCTTCTCAGGAATTTCTCTAAGTAATTATAATGAAACATTTTTAAAACTATCACATATTTAATTTTAATAGCATATTTTTAGAACCCTGTTCCTTCTGAAGAAATTTCATGCTGAAAGCATTTATTATTGTGAGATTACTTTGTGGTTAGGGAAGAAAAGAATCATTTCATATGGCAGATGAATGGACTAGATGGAAGGGAAGGTTTATGATGTCTTCCAAATCATCCAGCTATGGTTAGGGACACATCTTCCAATTCTTTTCTCCAGATCTTTGTTCTATTGGGTGCTAATGAAATATTTGGCAAATCCTTGTATTTTATGATATAATATTCTGCTTCATGGGGCAGTGCCAGATAATAGCGTAGGTTTGCCTGTATTGATGACTTGCTATAATCCAGACGCTGTGGAACCTACTGAGAATTCTTCAGCTTCATTTCACAGGTGTATTTTTTTAAACTGTCCCTTCTATAGTTGGTGTGAGAATTCAGACACTTATTACATACAGATTAATAATGTAGAACTCAATGAATTGTTCATTTCTAGTCTCTGTGTCTTCTCTTCCTTTGTTTTCCTCTCTTCTTTTTTTTTTTTTTTATCCTTGCCCTTTTATGGTAGATTGTGGCTTGAAAGCAAAGAAAAGTTGAATAAGAAGCTGAGTTCCACATTGGCATCTGGAATAGTGGGGGAGGGGTGGATGGAGGAAATAATTAAATGTAGTTTTGTAATATTTAACCTATTATGGTAAAATTTCAATTAAAATGATTGCTAAAATTACCTCAACAACTGTATTTACTCAAGTTCAAATAAAACCAGACATTTTTCTCAAAGTATTTTTTTATTCAAATATTAAACACTTTCCTCCAAAATCAACAAACCAGACAAAACTATTGTTTGCTTAACTTCATCAATCTTTGACTATGCCAAGTACCTTGGGACCCTCAAGAGAACCTTAGCTGCATTCATTTCTGGTTAAAAACTAAATGACACTTTTTAATGTGTTTTCTTTCCATTTTTCAAAATAGAAGATATGTTTGTTTCTCATTAAGGTTAGTTGGAGTGGTTCAGCAAAGGTGTCTGGGCAGCTCTGGAAATGGAGAGCTAGAGTTTAAGGAAAGAGGTAAATTTCACATTTGAACCTTGTTAGCATTTCTTTCACTCATCATTATTTTAACTAGCTGCATCAGTAATTCCCCCAGGAATGATTATGCCATATGAACTAGGAATATGCTGGAGATTTTTTCCTGGGTCTGCAAACTAGTGAGATTGTAATTACTTGGTATCTATCATAATAGATGAACTTTTTCTTCCCCTCCATTTGTAATGCAAGAGGTATGTTACACCCCTTGTTTGTCTTTCTATTTTTTTTCACAGCTTGTGCCCCAGGGACAAATGGGAAAGAGTGTGACAGCATCTGCAAGTGTCAGAATGGAGGCACCTGTGATCTTCTGACTGGACAGTGCCAGTGCCCCCCAGGGGTTCATGGGAAGACTTGTGAAGATGGTAGGAATGTCTGTGCCAGTCTTGAGGTTTCTAATGGAAATAAACTGAGTCAAAGTTTCATCTGCATTTTTCAAGACAGCCTTTACTGATGAAGTCAAAGGCTGTGTCTATACATACAAGATGCAATGGCTTTGACTGATGCCGTGTGTAACGGAACAACATAATTGATAATTAAATCGCCAACTGTGATCTAAGCAGGATGAATCTTGAGACACAGAAAGCATTTTTTTTCCTGCTGAGCAAAAAGTTGAGTTTGTGTCCATATGTGTGTGTGTGTGTGTGTGTGTGTGTTTTATACTATAATATAACACACTATGTTTTGGATGTAGAACCTGGGAAGACTTGATTTGCTTTACATAGTGAAAGAAAGAGCAATGTGATTTCCAAGGCAAACAGGGAGGGAGAGAGATGAAAGTCAGGGAAAGAAAGGAGAGGAGGGAGAGAGGAAAGGAGAAATGGATACAAATCTCACAAAATGCCAATGAGTGCTGTGTACGGATTTTTCATGGAAACCAGTGAAAAGGCCACATTTCCTACATGGGTTGATGAAGCACAAAAATAAAGACACTGCTTGTACAGACACAAGAGCTGAAGGCAGAGAGTCAGCGAGGATGTACGTCTCCAGGGATTGCCAGAAATCATGGGGAGTTTATTAGATTCTCACAGACCACAGAACTGGGAAGACGGAAACCAAATTTACTTCACTTTCAGAGGTACAGGAAGGCTTCTGCTGGCATTCCACTTGCATATCCCTGTGAGCCATGTTTGTTTGTCTATTTTAAAAATATATTAAGTGGTTGCAAAGAACTGTGCCTGGTACTATATGATATGATAACAAAAAGGGAAAAGGAAAGTTCCTGGTCCCTCCATGTGGAGCCTGTAGTCTTGTCCAAGACAAACATAGATATTATAAATTTATTAATGCATGGCTGGAAGTGAGACCATGAGGACAGGCTGACTGTGTATGATGGAAGAGACTTCTGGAGAAGTAATACTTAAGCACAAGTCTGCAGAATGAATGGAGGAGACAAGAGAAGAGCAAGGGGGTAGCTTTCTAGACCAAGCCAGGAAGATGTGCAATGCACTGCAGAACCCCAAGAAGGAGGAGCAAAGGCAGTTGAGGAGATAGTAGTGCAACTTGAGCTCCCCCAGCACAGGGCTTGCAGTGCTGAGTCGGGTTTCGAACCTGTAGCAGTGGCAAGTCGCCGCAGGGTTTTAAGCAGAGAATGCAGCATCATGTCCGTGATTTTCAAAATCTCTCTCTAGCCTCAGTCCAGCCAGCTTGGAAATGTCTTTAGTGTCTCAATTTCATACAGCAACAGCTCTAGCAGGGTTTGCATATGGGTTAATGTTTTCTTTGTTTGTCCTTTCACCCTCCAGGATGCCCAAAAGGGTTCTTTGGGAAAAACTGCAGAAGAAAATGTAACTGTGCCAACAACGGCCATTGCCACAGGATGTTTGGTTCCTGTATGTGTGAGGCAGGGCGCTATGGGAAATTTTGTCATCTGAGTAAGTCACAAACGCCAGTTGCTTTCTATGCGAAGCATGGTGGCTCAAAATGTATGGGGAATATATCAGACAAAGAGGAGTAAAAACATAGTGTGTGTGTGTGTGTGTGTGTGTGTGTTTGTATGATTGTGTTCTAGCTTTTATTGAATTTCTTTATAGAATCTAGATAAATGAAAATATTTGTGATCTTAACTTTTATTCTAATTAATATTTCCCTAAATTATTTTTAATTTTTTACATTTTTTGTAGTTAATATTTCTCTCAAGTATTGAGAAAGGATAGTTAATAATTTAGTTAAGAGGACATGTGACACTTTAAGGAGTTTAATATCAAGGGCCAAGAATGAGTCTCTTTCTGGGTTCTAGCCCCAAACATTTATTCCCTCAAGTTTCTAAAACAAGCTCTTCATTTTCCATCCTCCCTATTGATCACATTTTTCAAAAGGTGCAAGAAAACACAAGCACTAAAATATATATCTAGATAGGGGCCCCCTCAGGGTCTTTTAGAGTTTCTCCCAGCAGGATAACTCTGGATGTTCACCAGCCCGCCCTAGAGCTGTGTTCAGGAATCCCTGGGCTGGAGTGATCTCAGCTCCACTCCTCCACCTATTCCATTTCCCTCCTCTTTCTCTTGAAGGACCCACTTCTCCAGAAATTTCTTCTGACTGAATGTCAGTGTCTCAGTCTGTTTGGACTGTTATAACAGAATAGTGTAAACCAGAAAGCTTGCATACAACAGAAATGTACTTAGTACTGGAGGTTGGGCAGTCCCACCACAAAGCACTGTGGATTCCAGGTCTCCATCTCCTGAAGGCTGCTTTCTGGTTCATGGTCAATGCAATTTGCTGTGTCCTCATACGGCAGGAAAAGAAAATTGGCTTGTGGGCCTCTTCTATAAGAGAAGGAATCCCACTCATGAGGGGATTCCTCATTCTGTAAGAGCAGGAATCCCCCACTCATAACTCACCTTCAAGACCCCACTCCCACCCACCATCCCTGTGGGTAGGTTTCAACGTATGAATTTTAGGAGGATACAGACATACATACCATTGCACATGACAGTATCATTACCACCTCTTAATAACAGACAGCTTTTAGAGTTTTATAGTCTATCTTAAGTTCAATATCCATGAGTCTTATCTATTTATAAAAGGTATGTACCTGGAAAATAGAGTCAGTGGTGAATACTCCAATATGAAAGCCAATGGAGGGATCATAGGAAACTCAACTTGGATCATGAGGAATGGTTAATCTTAAATAAGCAACATATAAGAGACAGGGGTAAAGCATGGGTAAATGTGAGCAATGGTGATGTTGTGTTCCAGAATATCATATATCTCATGCCCAGTGAAGACAGGCCTAGAAACAAAGATAGTCTATTTCTATTATTGTTTCTGAAATGTAGCAAGATATGTAACCCCATATTTAGTAATAGGGTTTTTTAATACTTGGGAATTGCTTAACCACCGAACCACATCCTCAGCTTTTTTTTTTTTTTTTTTTTTTTTTTGTATTTTGAGACAGGGTCTCACTAAGTTGATTAGGGCGTCAATAAGTTCTGAATCTGGCTTTGAATTTGAAATCCTCCTGCCTCAGTCTCCTGAGCTGCTAGGATTACAGGCATGTACCATTGTGCTTGGCTAGTAATAGCTTCTGAATATTTGACAAGATAATATCAGATGTTTGGGCACAAAAATTAATCATAAAACATCTGAGTGAAAAACTTTCAGAGCTAATTTGTCAAAAACATCTAAAATTGAAGTTTTAGTTTTAAATATCAACCTAGCATATTTTTATTCCTTTTCATGCTATCAGGTTTGTTGTTACTGGTGGTGGTTAGCATTTTGAATGTGACCATCTTCAAGTTGGTTGAAGTCCAATTTCAAGGTTTTAGCAGGGTTATGATCCCTCTGAAGAGGCTAGGGAAGGATCTAGACCTCCCAGCTTCTAGTAGATCCTCGTCCTGCAGCAGCATAACCCAGTCTTCATATGCTCTTCTCCCCATGTGCATGTCTCTGTGGACAGATTTCTCCATTTATAAATATACTAGTCACCTTGAATTAAAGGCCATCTTATTCTAGTATGACCTTATCATAACTTCACCAATTACATCTGCAATTTCCAAATAAGGTCACATTCTAAGATCCAGAGAATTAGGACTTCAACATATGAATTTTTGGAAGATACATTTTAATATATAACAAACCCTGAATAGGCACTTGGTTGCCAATACAGGTTACTTCTACTTTCTCTTTTTTTTCCAAACGTATTGCTACAATTATATGTTCTTAATATACCCAAATGTCAAATTTATGCATTCCACTGTGCCTGAGTTGTCCCCGGAGCCACAAATCTATATGCTGAATCAGGTGGAGTAATACATGAAAGTCAATCTAGGGTGAGTATTCTGAGATGACAAAAAGAGACTTATATCAGGGCAGACTGAAGTCTGAGAAACCCTGGGGCTTGGAGGGACTGAGAAAGAATTACAGACTTGAACGTCATAGAAAATGTGACAGGGGAATCATGAACAATTTTGAGAACAAACTTCTGTTAATAATTTTGTTTTGCCTCAGTAGTAACTGAGTGTCCCTGGCAAGTGGCACTAGGATCATCCTAGGTGGTACCTTTATAACCACTGCTTTGAATGATCTCTACTTGTCCCTCTCCATCTACCACAAAGTGGAGTGGTGTGTTTTATTTTCTGCAAGCAACTTTCTGTAGCAAAGCCCATAAAGACACACGAAACAATTACCTTGAGCCTGGAGGGCACTTGAAAGGATCTCTCATTTGATAAGTCCCTTGAACATCTGTAATAGGGAAGAAACGATGTCAGAGAAACATTTTGGAAAGGGAAATGAATTATTCTAGTAACTCCTCAGAAAGGGAACAAGTATGTTTTCTTAAATGCAAAAATGAGACTTTTTTCAATTGGGATTCCAATGCTGACGACCATCCCTAAAGCTCAATGGCAAGGGGAAGATAATATGACATGAGGGCAGGCACCATTTGCCAAAGATGTGGTCAAGATTACGCTAATGTCACTGTGAAAGCTCTGTGCTATCTGCATGATGTAAATTTTTTTCCGATTACCATATAATAAAGGGGAGTGAAAACAATGGCAAGCCTTCACATAAATGCTTGTCCATCATCTCCATGCTTCGGCAGGATGGCTATGGGTCCTGGCAGCAGCAGCAGTCTTTGGAGAATATTAACTATGGGCACCAGTGGAGCACATTGAGAAGCAATTTCTCTCCTGGAAGCACCAAAGCCTTTTAAGTAGTTTAGGCTTCACTGTTCATGTCCAGTTGCCAAAAAGCAAATGAATTGTCTGATTTGAAAGACATTTGTTTCCTTATATTATTTTGGCAGTCAGGATGATCCCCTGTTTTCCTCATAATCAGGCCCCACAGAACGACATGCCTGTGCACTAACAATTTAAAATAAACAAAGCGTGGTTTTCAGGTGACCGTTTTGCTTCAATCTGCTCGCAGACTGTCCCAAGGGGGCCTACGGAGCTGGCTGCTCTTTGGAATGTCAGTGTGTGGAGGAGAACACCCTGGAATGCAGTGCCAAAAATGGTAGTTGCACCTGCAAATCTGGTTACCAAGGCAACAGATGCCAGAAAGGTACAATCTGATGATAGATTTTTCTTTCTTCTCTAATAATAATGCTCAGCCTTTGTTCAGCATCATATGATCATTAATTAGTTAATCCACCAGTGTCCTCAGGTGGTGTGGTATGCTTTATTAATCCCCTATTTGCAGGTGAGGAAACTGAGACACAGGGCAATAAAGTTATTTAACCTTATCTTCTCAGATTCTGTTATAAGCAATCCCCTTACTGACTTGATAAGGGAGGAAACATCACATTATATAGTATCTTGTCCAGAAAAAAAGATGAGAGCTCCTTGTGTCCACTTCTTTGAACTGAACTAACCAACCAAGAACACTGCTGGCTTCCTGAATTAAAGAGTTATTCTCTCTATATCTAAAAATGGGTCACTCAAACAAACAAAATGCAAAGATACTTAATTGTGGAAAATTTAAAATGGCTATCAGTATTGTCCTTTCTCAAATTTTTAGATGTTACATAACTTTTAAATTTAAACTACAAATAGAAAGGTTTGTGTATAGCATAATTTCAATTATAAGTAATATATTCATGTGTGTGTATGTGTGTGTGTGTGTGTTTGCATGAAAATTTGGAAGACAGGGTCCCAAGATGTCAGCGATTTTGTTTCTGGCTTGTGGACTCACACACGCAATGCTCCTCCTCAGTTTTTCAGGGCATTTTTTTATGTGTTTTCAAAGCCTCATGTCACCTTTGCACCGAATTTTATCAGTCCCACCCTACCTAACATTGCAACCTGCAAGTTTCCCTGAACATTTTTCTTTCTCTCTCATGCTTATCATATTCTAATAGACCACATATTCTAATTATATATTGTCTAATATATATTGCCTGTCCTTCCCTGCTAAAATCTGAACCCCATGTGGGAAGAGTATGTGCAATTTTATGCCAGTATCCCTAATCTCCTAGAACAGTCCTGACATAAGAGACGTTTCCCATTAAATGATTTCTTAAATTAATACATAAATATGCATAGTTATTTTTTATCTTTTATTCATTTTTCTTATATGGTGGATAAAGCCCTAGTTACTATTTTATTCAGAGGAAATTATCACAGCATTTTTTCTCTTTCATACAAAATACTGACCATACCACAAATACAATTATCATAACTAATGACAAGTTGTGATACTTTTTGCCTTTGCAGGACCCAAAAGGCAATGTTGCTTAAAATTGGGAGAAGATAATGGGTTTGAAAGGAAACCATCATGTACCAAGTTCACTTACAAAGGGAAGCACTGAGATTGACAGTTGTTCTTGACCCTCTTGTATCCTCAACTGCTCCTTATACTGCAATCTTCAGAGAGTCTAAAAGGCTTTTCTGGAGCTGAATGAGAAGGGGAGTGTGACTTTATTCTGGGTTATTCTGTGCCTGTGGAACTGAAGCATGTGAGCAGTAATGTCCATCTGAATTTTGTGGAGAGTGAACTCTTTAGATAGCTGGATTGTGAGTTTCTAGGTAATGGGGAAAGGAACCTGGGGATATCACATATCACATGAACATGTTTAAAATGGTATAAGTGGGTCTTGTGTCACTCTCTAAATCTCTTGCCTCAACTGATTTTTAAACCCAGACTTGGCCCCTTCTTTCTTTCCCCACTGGAGAAGTCATGCCCTGGAAGCTAATGCCCAAGGAGATAATACCATATCCACACACCTGGGTAAATTTAATTTATTCTGATAACATTTTCTTAAAGCAGCTGCTGAATATGCTTTATTGGAAAATGCTTCTGAGATTCCCACTGTGAAAGAAAATGAGTTGAAAGTATATGTAAATCAGCAAAATAGAGAGGTCACCATAATCTCTGGAAAACATATTATTTTTCAATCAGATAACTTTGTCCAATTCTGATATTTTTGTCTAACCACAAAATGAAATTATGAATCAGACTGGAGCGGGTGAATGGGCTTGCCATGATTGACAGCTGAAATCAAGGCAAAAAGAGCTCTTTAAGAGTTGTACATGATGAAAATCAGGCCTGTTGTTTTTCTTTTTCCTTTTTAAAAGAGTGAAGTAGCCCAAGTGCTCCTAGAGCCAGACAGATCCTTAAAAATCTTAACTCCAGACCTGTGTCTAGATTGCAGATGAATAGTTAATTAAAGACTTCAAATTGTTTCAATGGCACTAATGAACAGTATTCTCCACAATCAACACCGGTCCTTATTTAGCTTATCAGCAGTGACTTCTAAGAACAGAGGAGCTGGTTTCTTCAACTAACCTGTGAAATACCCAAAAAAGAAATACCAAAAAAAGAAAAGAAAGGAAAAAGGTTCTTTTTTAAAAGCAGCCAATGTCTTTGGCTTGTATGTTCATTAGTTTATAGCCTGGGATATTTTGGACCCCAGCTACCTGTAGAGGACCCTCTGGGCCAGCAATTCCCTTAAGTCCATTTAAGGTGGTCCATAACAACCTTCATGTCATAATAAGAATGACAGATTATTGTTAAAGTAGTTCCACATTAGATGAACTTTGAAATTTGAACTCTCATGGGTCTCTAAGGGCAGATTAATTGACTCTGAAGGTCCTGAGTACTTAATATAGCTGGGAAAGCTGACTGCAGTGGCTGATGGCTCCAGTTTCAGAAGCCAGATGGTCTGGGTTCAAATCCTGCCTTTGCTACTTTCTAGCTTGGTAAAGGAGTAGGTCACTTAATCTCTCATGTAAAAATAAAATAAAATGATCATGGGGAAATTTTTGTGGAAATATAAGCTAATTTACATAAAGTGCTTGGTGCAGAGTAAGCGATCAACAGATCAGGTACTAACATCCCAGAAAATAATTCACTCTGCCCAGTTCAGAAGATACTTCATGATTCGATTTCAATTGCTGTGACTTTCTATAATTACCATATGTTTTGGAAAATTTCACCATTTTCCCCTGTGTTAAAAGAATGCTTCCCACTAGGTTTCTAATTCCAGTGATTTTGATGGTAGAGCATATGCTGAGACCTCTGAGTCTCAGTGTTGATACAGCTTCAACTGTCCTTTTCTAGTTCAAAGGACATTCAACAAAGAAGCACACAATTTCTCTTTAGTGCATCGTATACTTTCATAAAATCCACAATTTGCAAACCTCTGGTGTGATTATTCTGACTTAGGGAAAAAAAAAAGCAAAGACTGGGAGCAAAGGATTGAGGCAAGCATTTGGGGGCAATTTCCTGAGCACCATGCCTCCTTTACAAATTACATCTCATTTTCATGTTTTGTTCTGTGCAACTGCCTCCAAAGATATATATCAAAATTGCTTCCATTGTTACTGTCTGAAAAACTACATTTTCAGCAAAAAGCCAACCACTGTATCTGTGTTTCCAAAGTGACAAGATAGAGCATCATGTTGATTTCTTCAGGGAATATTTTTGGAAGTGCTATAAATCCTCAGAGGCTACTAGAATGTTTCTTTCTTTGCAGCTCAGACACACGCACGCGTGCGCACACATAAGCACACAGACACACATGCACACATTTGCCAACTCACTTAGGCAACAGTAGAAATCTGGGACCATCTTGAGCTTTATTGCAAGTCTGAGCTCCTTTCTTTCTCTATTTTACAAGCCTGCCCTGATGGCCTCTGGGGACCAGAATGCAGGTTCTCCTGTGGACCCTGTGAAAATGGAGGTCAGTGTGACAAAGAAACTGGAAACTGTACCTGTGCTCCTGGTTACATGGGAAAATCCTGCACAATGTGTAAGTAATAAACCTAGAAAGGAGACCCAACAGAGTCAATAAAATTGTTGGCTTTATAAATGCTTTTCTTATTGACTGCTATACAAGGTGTTGCTGTTAGATAGCTGTTCCAGCTATCATTGTACAACAACCCACCCCAATACTTTGTGGCTTAAAACAATAATTTATCATTTCTCTTGATCCTGTGGGTTGATGAGATGGCTCTCACTGCTAGTCGCTCATGCATCACTCGTGTGGCTATTTCAGGAAGTTGATCAGCTGGGAACAATTGGGCTTCTCAACTCTGCATAGCATTTCTATGAGGTTCCATTGGACTTCCTCCTCACACAGCAGTGTCAGGACAACACTCCAAGAAGGAGCATACAGAAAGCGTGAGAGCAGAAGCTACAGATGTCTCAAAGTGTAGCCACAGAAGCCACACATTATTATTTCCACCGCATTCCACTGTTTAAAGCAAATCATGAGGCAAGCCAGAGTTAGGGGGAGGAGAAAGAGGTTCTAACTCCTGATGCAGAGGAGTAGCAAAATTTCATTGCCAAAGACTTGCAAACTGGGAGAGAAGGTTGCAGTCATTCGGGGAACCAATCTCCCAGAGTATAGTAGTTAATGTTATACTGAAATGCATTTTAAGAAATTCTAGACTAGGATTATCATTCTTTGCAGAATGGGAGCAGATTATAAACTGCTAAAAAGTGATTAACTAAATTGAACCTGTTTAAAAGAGTCGGATAGAACTACTATCCTGCCATACCCTCTTCTGATTGTGATTCTTACCTACACCTAAGCTAACCCCCACTGCCTTATCTTCTCTGCCCCATCCGCAGTGAAACAGAGTAGCTGGAGAAAAGCTGTGGACTGGATGATAATGATGGCGTTTTCCACATTACTATTGCAACTTTGTCTAATAAAGATTAGCAAAACTCTATTGTTTGTGATTAGCTATCATTTGGTAAAGTGTGGGCTGTATCTGAATGAGTTCTGAGTGCTTAGGACTTTCTATAAATAAACAATTAAAACCAGAAATATAAACTGTAAATATAAAATATAGTACAGGAGAGTATTTAGCACAGAGCTAATCATCTGATCATTTGAGGAAATACATTACTACCCCTAAGGATAACCCTCAAGCAGAAGTGACAGGACAGGTCTTTGCCTGACAGTTTTTCTGTATATATCTAGACAGTTTTTATTTCAGCACCATCATTCTGGCACTGTTGACAATCATCTCAAATAGTCTAGAAGTTTACCAGAGCAGCAGTTGACTATCCCTAACCTACTTGTTTGCTTAAAAAAAAAAAAGATTTAAAGGTAAGAATTTACATATTCAAAAAGTAGTTTCTTGCTCTTTCCACAGCACAGTGACATTTTCTCTTGTCTAACTCAACATTAATGGAGTTATTATTAAGCAGATAGTAATAAAATTTACATTGTTTCAATTGTCAGGTGATATAAATAGATTATTTAAAAACAAGGAAAAGATAAACTGCTCATTCTCTCAAATATTAATTTTAATAGTCGTGCTGTGTTATAATGCTTCCATCCTAGTATTTCAAACCCCAAGAGAATATTTTATGATAGTCCTGAGAAATTTGTGGTGAAAAGCAATGGTTATTTAAATTGTATTGGCAAGCTGATTATGATACATGTACTGAATTGACTAGACAAAAAGTGCCCTAACTCCTGGTCCAGTTCAGTTTTAGTGAGACATGCTATTATCTGATTTTAATCACAGAAACACAAACACGTATTATATAATCACCGTAATAAGTTATTTAGGAAAATGAGTGAAACTGAATGATAGAACTCATAAAAAATGCTTCACACATACTTCACAAAGACTATGTATGGCATTTTTTAAAAGGCTTGTATTTGAAGAAAAACATACAACATATCTCTAAATACCCTGGTATGGTGCTCACAGAATTTTAAAACCTACTTACTCTGCATAATGAACTGTAAAAACACAGGCGATACAAAGTAATATTTTTTATAGACAGGAGAGACCAAAAAGCTATTTCTTAAGTTATTGGCTTTGTAAAAATTCCATTGTTTGGAAGTTATAAATACACATACTTGAGAAATTTTTTCTTTTAAAAAAATATTTTATTTTACTGGTAGGAAACCCTCTAGATTATGTCTTATGCTGGTTAATGTTTTATGCAAATGTGTGGGTTTTGTGGGGTTTTTTTCTTCTTCCTGCATGGTGTGTGAGGCACAGGGAGGTGGATGGCTTCCCAGGCCCTCACACCTTGGGAAAATGCCACCTCTGGGAAGGGCACTGTAGCTTTCTATCAGGCCTTTTATCGAATATTCAGAGAAGTGGTCCTAGCTTTTTCTTTATCCTGACGTTATTTCTCATAGCAAAAGTACAAAATGGAAACAGCTTAAATATCCATCCAAGGGGAGAATGATCAAACCATTATATAATACATCTGTGGACTATTCTTAGGCGGTTAGGATTCGTGTTTTTTGATAAATGCTTATTGTCAGGAGAATTGACGTTAAATGCTGTATATAGAGAATGATCCAAATTTATGAGAACACGAACCCATGGAAAATTGTAGTAGAAAGGACAGCTGTTGTTAACAGTGGCTGTGGGTGAGTATTTTTCTCCTTTATACGTTTCTGTCTTTTCCATATCTACTGCCTTACAATTTTTCCTTGGAAAAGTTGTTAATGTAAAAAGTAGTAAGGTAGTGAATACCAGTGCCCAATTTTTGTCGTTACTTAAAGTAGCCTTTGAGAATCTTCACTGTTCCCATGACAGTGAATACCAGTCTCACTGAACTTGCTCTTTTAATTGAAGTTCAATTTTCTCTGTTTTGTTGTGAATGTTGAACACAGTCCATCAATACTACCAAAACTTAAAAAAAAAAAAAAAAAACCTTAGTAGTATGTCCCTGAACATTTGTTTCCTTTGCCTTTCTTCAGAAATTCGATTTTCTATCTATTAGTCATTTTGCTAATATATCTCTGATTTTTGTCATGTTTTTCATAAACCTTTATAAAATAGGCCTCTGAACTACTAAAGTGGAGTGACAGAGAATAGGGAAAAGATATAAGGAGGGAGATTCTAATAACAAATACAACCATGTTTCCAACACCACTAAATGAAACTTCATGGAAATCATATTGAACACAGGTCTAAGTTCCCAGTGGAAAGCTGGTAAATATTTAACAACTGGCCGTCTGAAATATAAAAAACCTGGGTTGCAGCGTTCACCTATTTCCATGGCGTAATACTCCCACCGTGGTCCTTTCAAGCAACCAATGTGATGTCAAATGGCTTACAAAATTCCTGAAAATTTAATGGTTGGTGTCCCAAGCTGGTAGTAATGGCTCCAACAAACCACTGGCTGACAAACATTGTGTTCTGAATACACAAAATGATTTCATGACCTTTACTTTCTCCTTCGATATTAAGAAATGATTGCTTTTCAGGTAGTGGTTTTACATTGCTCTTTCTAAACAGCTAACCAGTTTGACCTTTCTGGTTGAATTAACCAACAAATAGCTCCAACCAACAAAAAAATTGGCTATTTAGCCAGTCTAGTTTATTTTTAAGACAAAAATCAATTGTTTGAACCCATACAAGATTCAAAAAACTGACCAAAAAAATATTGAGCTGGAAACAGAGCCTTATTTATCCTTTTTTTCTAGAATTCATGTAAAATTCTGATCTAGAGGGATCGTTTGTTTCTTTTAACCACCTATAAGCTATTTTCAATTTCTACTACACCCACCACAAACCAGGGCTGGCGTTTTCTTTATGACACATTGTTATTAAAAAAAGAAGAAAGAAAGGACAGTTATCTAAAGTACAAGAAAAAGAAACTATTATATGTAAAATCAAGAAAAGAAGTAGATGAATAAAAAGAAAAACTTAAGAAGAACAATTAAAAGTCCTCAGTACCTCCAAAAACAAAGAAGTAAGATGAAACAAAAAGCCTCTCCTTCTCTGAAGCCATTGCAAATCTGATTTTTAAAGTTGCCGTAAAATAAATTGTATTTAAATAATACATCGCCCATCCTTTCCTGCAGTGAGATGCATTTCCCTTACCAATCTGGTTCTCAGCAGGCGGGCCAGCCTGATGAAGTATCAGCAAAATGTCAGCTCCCACAGAGAAGTGCGACAGAGGCGACACTGAAGCAGTGACAGGCCTTTCAAGAAGCTATTGTGCAAATTCGGTTTTGAAATAGGGATGTGGTTGAGGACGGATGGGTATGTCATTACCAAGGCGTTCATCTCCCCATCATCAGGAGGCAGAGAAGGGAGTCCTGGAGCAGCTGATGTGCAGACATTAAGTTGAGGGGTGGTAGAGCTGGTCTCGAGGAGATTTGTCTTTATATCTATATTTTTAAAAAGTTAATATTCAAATTAGCTTGCCTTTTTAACATATACACATTGAATGCAACCTAAGAGCAGTCTCACCCCTACTGGATGAGCATCCATCCTGTCTGTTAGATCATTAAGAACAAAGTTCATCTTGGCATTCCTTAATAACCCTCATTGACTTATACTATACACAAGAAGTGACAATACCATAATGTTAAAGGCTCATCATCAACCTGTCCCTCACCTCACATTGACCACTCTCACATAGAACCCACCTATTCAATCATAGGACCCACCACTGTGCTTCCAGAGATGACCCTCATACTTCAGCCCTGAATTCCCCCCAAGCACCATGTACATTTAAAATATAGTACCATAGTTCATTGTTCTTTACTAAATATCTTTTTTTCCATTATAATTGCTAGCTAAATTTCTTCAAGGATTTTTATTTTTTTAGTCCTATGCAAACAAACCAAACCATGAAATTTCTTTCTTCCATAACATCACTGATCATAGTGCCTGATAATTAGTTGTCTGTTTGTGCATGATGAAGGCTATCATTCATTTTTTTTATAATCTTCAGCTCTCTCTGTACATGAGATGCTTCATTTGATGGGCTTGATTCAATTAAGAACATCCTTAACAACTTAGTAAAGAAGGTTGG